AAAAATTAATTCACGCTCGATGTACTGGACCAGTTGCTGATGTTCTTCCTGCTTGTGAAAAAAATAGAGCCTGACCATTTGTGCTTCACGAGCAGATACCCTGCATAAGGCTGGCAATAAGCTTGAAAATGTGGATATGAAAGGCTTGGCTTAAGCTTAGTTAATTAAGAATATATATGTGAATACTCTAAATGTATCTATGAAATTTCCGAGTGCACTGTTAAAGGTATGATATATTCCTGATCTGCCTTATACAATTGTATATTTGAAATACTTTCAGTCACGTTAAGTGATGGGAAAAGAGCATGCTGGTGACAACACTTATGCTACCCCATTGCCTTCATTTATAGGATATTCAAAATGAAGTGAAGTGCCAACAACAGCAACAACAACAACTGCGACTAAGCAACAACAGCAAATGAATGCACACACGTTTGCGGTGTGCTGCTGCTGTGTACTTTATATTGTTGTGCCGGGCATATGAGCAGCGATAGGGACTCTGGACAAAGGTGCCGGGCACAGGTCGTGGCCCATTTTATTTTAGTAGCCCAGCACACGGCGGCTGATGACTTAATGAGCATAATAAGCTCAGCACCAAAATTACCTTTTAAAATTAACATGATGCGCTCTAACAACACGTGCATGCGCCCTTCCCTCTGCTCGCCCTGCTCCTGCTGCTCTTATTGCTATTTAGACACGCAACGCACACACACACACATGGCGATTACAGTGATTATAGTGGCATAGACAAGCAGTTACATATTTAAATTAAGATTTTAATGCGCATACGGATGGCAGCCGCAGCTGCGACTGCGGCAAGCTGCCAAGTGGGCGGCAACGTCATTTAATTTCAAATTAATTAGTTGGCTTTATGATTAACTAACCGCTAAGTAGCTTAAGGTATGTTTCAGCTTAAGTTGATGTAAGTTTTTGATTCATATATATCATTCTAAATTGATTTAAGTTGCTGCCAGTCAAAGGTTTCTTACGGCTTGAGACAAAGTTTAACCACGAAAAGTTATGATGGACTGTGTTAAGCTCGAATTGCAGCTAACAAATTGAGTGCAATTACAAGACATTTATATAATTTCTCACAATTCAAGTTATATTTAGGAAATTAAGTTATTCTTATATATATTTGTGTTGAGTGCTGTAAGAATTGTGAAAAATGTGATTTGTAACCAAAGCCACTGAAAACTTTCAGATAAAAAGCTGGGGCCGTCACATCCATAAGCCTAGGCTTTTACGAAAGATTTAATTTATAAAGCTTTGCTTGTTCTATATTGACTGTACTTGATCGGCCTGCTATATTTGTATCTACACAATATGCTAAATTGAATATAGCGATTGAGACTTCAGTTATTCATGCTTTATTCGAACTGTACCACAGTGATAGTTCTTGATTTGGTTTTGATTATGTAAAAATAATTATATTGCTCAGCTGTTTTATTCATAAGTTGCATAAGCCAGCCCATAAATCGCATCAAGCACTAATTCTCTATAGATAAAATAGTATTACGGCCAAAGCTTGTGGATTATATTCTTTTCAAATGTGACAATTCTGCTTATTTCAAACAAAAATAATAATAATGTCAGCAATTTGCAAGCGTTGCTTCAGTGTAAATCTATTTATAATGCAATGCCAAAGCAACTGTTAAGTATGTTAACAAATAAAATAATGATGCCAACTTGAAATTGTTAGCCACTAAAAAAAAAAAACAACATTTATAGAGCCGTATTCCATATCAAATATTGACAATCATACTATAAGCCATAAAGTTAAAAAAGCATCAAATCGAATACTAAAATAGAATTGACTGGGAAATTTTGCTGCTAATACATCTGGCTATGGAAAAACTATTTAGGTGCGTGCTCACAACTTTTTAGAATTTATATTTTTTTACTTGTTTACTATAAATCATTAGCATGCGTTGACCTTAACACCATTCCACAGATATTAGTATCAACACAAGCCCACGCAGGTAATTGATACCTAACTCCAAGCCATAAATAATTGAGTTCAAAAAAAATTTTATTTTTCAATATAATAAACAACTAAAATGTCGCTTACTTTATAGCCCTCAATGGAATATGTGTTAGTTCATCAGTAAGCTAAAACAGCAAGGCATATGCGTAGAATTTATATCAGTTCTTGGTTCTTGTTAAATAATAAAAATACTTAAGAATTGCTATAAGAAGTGCTTGATTAGCTCTCTCATTCACGAGCCGCTCGTTCGTTATTATCGAAGCAGTCAGCTGTAGCGAGCGGCGTAAATATATGAAAAATGATATCTGCCGAAGCTGCCTATCCGTCAGATTTAAGTGCAAGTCAGAAGTTGATGTGGCTTATCGGGCTCAGGCGTCGACTGCAGAGTCAGACAAAGTCAGCGCAGCGCTCTGCACGCATCATTCGCCATTCGATGCGCTTGTCAATAACTTTTTAACGAATTTTTAAGAAGCCGCGTTGCGTATACGCCCTGTGGAACGCAGCGCAAAAAAAACACTCATGTATATGCATATGAAAGTGTGTGTGTGTGTGTGTATGTGAGTGTGCCTACTGCTCAGCATCATAATCAAATTAAAGCATAATTTTTTACGACGTCATAGCCATAAATATGAACGATGCGAAATTGTGCACAACATGGAAAAGCGCAAAGGAGCCGCCGCCTGGTCCTTGAGCAAGTGATTTCCCATTTTCGCTAAGCCGGAACTGGTCTGGGCGTGAAAAAATAAAATCAAATGTATAAATCATTTATGCCATGCTTTAAAATTGAATAAGCATTCGTCAGCAATAAATCGCAGTCGCAGTCTCAGCCAATCGTAGCCAGTCGCAGCCAGTCGCAGCTGCCCGAGCAGCAGTCAGCAAGGAGCTGAGCTCCAGGTCATGTCCTGGACCTGTGTGGACGCGCGCGCTGCTTGGGTCACATTTGCGTGTCCGCCGCCTTTGGGAAATTGCTACAATTTGTTTCATATTTCATGCGCCGTCGCTGTGTGCGAAAATTTACCACTTTGCGGTTTTTTGCCACGCCACAAAGGGGGAAAAAAACTTATATTTGAATTATTATTGGCGCACGCTGGCACTGTGGCAAAGCCAACTGAAAATATCACAAAGCAAATGCCTGATTTGCATATAGAATGCAATACCAAATGCCATTTTCGTCTCTATGGCTTATAAATTGCATTGGAGCTGCATACTTTTTGGGGCGTGGCAATTAAGAGGCGTGGCATTTAGCTGAAATATTGCATACTTTTAAGCGCGACTGGGTATTAGTATTATTATTATGTGGTTTTTCTAAACGATATTGAAAGCCTAACGAGATATTTAATATTAGATAGGATCGAAACCTAGGCTAACATTTTGATCTACAAATCTTTGAAATTGCTAAATTGGTAGAATATCTCTATATTTTAAGGATATTTATATCACATATATTTCCAGCACATCAGCTTTATTACAATCAGTACATTCAGTGCTTCAAGTACAATGCAAATACTTTAACGTTTTTCTTCGAATTTATTATCAAGCTTAACTCAAAACCCAAAATTTGAAACGCATCAAATTGCAATCTCATCAATTGTCTAGTTATTTTTGATCCCTCCTAAATGACTTAAAGCTCTTATCGTTTTATGGTCAAATTTACTTTCTACACTCCAAACATATGTAAAAAAAAAAGGAAATAATTTGAAACATGATATATATTATGAATTCAACCTGATCAATCTGATAGATTATCTATCAGTTTGGCTGGCAAGTTGACATTTGTTTGGCTATAGAGTAGTACAGCCTGATGTTATATAAGTTTAACCTACGCCGAATTTTTTGCGGATATCACATTGAATGCACGTAAACATTTTCTTATCATTTGAAGCTCTGCGTGTAGAAACTTATTTGCGACTCATTTTATAGGAGCCAGAGGTGATATTTTAAGCAAGCTGCCTTGAAACTTTGATACATTTCGATTAAAACTTATTTTTAAAACTTTCTATATATATATATATATACGCTAGCACCTGTGCTCGATTTCCTAATACATCCTCAATTAGCTGCTAATTAAAAGAGTCTATCACTGAACAGTTTTCATGATTGATTATGTACTCGTAAGCTATAATCAATTGGGAATGTAGTTAATCAAAATCAAAATATACTTTAAACAATCACTTAAAAAGTTTCTTAAGAAATGCGAATTCCAAAATAAAATTTGAAATTGAATTTTAAAATACTCAAGAAATCGAAAGAAAAAGGAATGGAACTGTCTAAATGAAAAGGAAATTTCCGGAATCAGCCAACATAACTGATTAAAGCACAATAATCGGTCATTTGTGACAATAATTTGGGACTTTGCTTTATTGCCTGCGTTGTTACTCATGACGGACTATTTCACAAATATGTCAAAAGAATTTTTTTGTTTAAGTTTATTATACCTTTGCTATCTAGTTTCGTGGAAAATCATAATCCGCACATGAACTTTGCTTAAATCATTTATTGCAGTAGTGTATTATTTTCAATTTTGATAGACGAGGCACGTGTACAACTTTATCTGCGCCAGACATAATAAATTTGATGTGGCTGCCGTTCTTGGTCTATGCTAATTTGGGCACAGCACGGAGCCGGGCTGCTTTCTTAATTTCAAATGAAACAATGTGAGAGCGTAGACTTGGGCAATGCCGAGGCGACATGTCGTCGAAAACGAAAATCAAATTTATGGTCTTAACAAGCGCTGTCAAAATGCGAGAATTGAGTGCCAATGCGAGGGCGAGCGGAGGAGCCAGGCCAGACAGGCAACCAAAAATGCATCCAGCTGCTGCTGGTGCTGCTGCTGGTGTTGCTCGACATTTGCATCTCGCATATAAATCGCATTAGGAGAACGCAATTACAGAGTTTCAAACATGGAGCAGCACGTGGTTGCGCCTAGGCACAGGCAGCTGTGCATCTTTCACATTGCTGCGCAACGATTCCACGCTTAATTGAAGGTAAAATTATGCACGTGTTACGTGTCTGTGTGTGTGTGGGGTGTGGGTGTTGTGTGTGAGTGGCACAGATTTGCGGCCCTGGCACAGCACTAAACAAGCGTTGTCCAAGCTTCATTTGGCTGGCCCCACTTGAGATAAGAAAAAGCAACTGCTTATCGCAGTCGCTGTGCTGGTCGTTTGCAAAAAACAACAGAAAATACTTAAAGGCGACCATTGTTAATATATGAACTTTAATTTACGCAATGTCAGATGCGAATTGTAAATACATCGAAAGTCAAGAATAGCGAAATGTGTAAAGAGTATAACGGCAGGGGTGTTATGGGGTGTGGGTGCTTAGTAATATCACATTGGTCTAATACTTTAAGAATAATACGAGCTGGACTCCAACTTTGAATGACTCAAATCAAAATGGGACACTTGTACATAATGTTAATCTTGGTCTTATCCTTGTCGCTCAGGCCCGTGCGCTGTCCGATCACAGCCGTGGGGTCGAGCGGCACAATCGTATCCTTGCCATTGACGGAGAAGGCACCAGGGCGATAGTGCAAGCAGCTATTGTAGTCGTAGCCCACGTCGAAGTCGGTGACTACTTTATCCGAGTACTTTTGGAAATTGAACTCCTTGCCGGGCACAATGTTCTCATGGATTACCTCGATGTAGTCATCGCGCAGCGCTGAGCTCTGCTCATGGTAGAAGCCCAACGCATGCATGAGCTCGTGCAACACGGTGCCGGGTCTAAAGCAGCCCTCACCAAGGGGATATATTTCCAGATTCATTTGCTGCCGTCCGCCCAGATAACCAACAGCTGTGTAGCAGCCACCGCCCTCGGCCGTAATGCTCACGTAATCTATATCCTGCTCGTCAGCCTCGCGGAAACGTAGGCAGGTCGCCTCCTCGATCGTCTGAATGCCCTTTAGAATGGCATCCCGATGAGCGGCATCGAAGTCTGTGGATATGCTGTATATGACTTGATTGTCAGGCCACCGTTTACTCGAATTCAATAGGCCATTGCGACCCATGGGTCCCTGCTCCAAGATCTGGCGTTGTCTGGCTGTCAACTGCATATCACCCTCCACAAAACCGGGCGATTCCTCGGGATCCCCTCGAGACTTCCAGGGCAGCGGCATTCCCTTGCACTGCAGCAGTTGAACGGACAGCAATAAAAAAAGCACAGCTTGTTGAGACTGCATCTTGTTCGCGACGTTGTTAAAATCTAACTGACGCATGTGCGTAGTTTCCACTTGGCATAAATATGCGACAATCGCATGTTAAGTCCGATGATTAGATACAGGCAATTGATTGCGGTCAGATAGTGCTGTTGGACACCTCTAGAAACGGGCTTAGCAATATCGCTAAAGCGAATGCCAGATTTTGAGAGGGTTTCCCCTATGCGCAAGCTACATTTCGTTATAATTTTACTATTTTTACTGGGTATGTGCTGAATAACTAATCAGAAATTAAGTTCTGATGACTCTAATAATTTGCAGCCCATTTTTCCACAGGAATCCTGGGCACTATGCACTATCAAACTATGCCAGACCCAGAAAGCCAGCCATATGTGGCCCAAAGCTATTTTTAAAGAAACTTAAAGTGAATTGAAAATCACCTAAGCACTATCACTCTCTCTCTCTATCTCTTACTATCTCTCTTTTAGATATTAAGAGAAGCTTATATTGACTTAAAATCCAACTAAAGAGCATCTGGTAGTCGAGCGCTTCTGTAACTAACACAACACTCAAAGCTGCACAACTAGGTAATCCTCTCTATCGGTGTACTCGAAATCATTTACAGGATTTGCTCAAGTCAAGAGCATACTTATGTAACCACTCTCTTTTCATTTGAGAGCTGAAGTCAGTCGATGATTAAGGCTTTTTTTGCAAATGCACTCTCTTCGTTACTCACTGCAGAACATACGTCACGGGCAAAAGAGCATTATCATTATTGTGGGTTAATTGAAATGGTATCTATATTATCAATGGTCTGATTGGATTTTTAAGTGCTCAACAGAAGTTTGATTTCACTAATTGGGATGAGTAATGGCGACGAATGCTTGCCATGGTCCAAGTTTCAGATATGAAAACACGCGTAATCACTGAACTGAACAAGTGAACGATTGTCTTGAATGGCGCTTATCGCAGCACTTACACGGCTACAAAAGAGCGGGATGGACAGATGGAAGAGAAAAAGAGACGACACGCTTCTAAGCCTTTAGAGCGCTTTGCGAGCTATTTGTAGGGCGAAAGTCGGCGACATTATAAGAAATGACGACATCTACCGCCTTCATTTATAGATTACAAATTCAAAGTTCTATTTTGAGCTTATCATTCAAATTCGGTTTAGTGTTCGAGATTTGTGTTCGCTCTCCTTAATGTGATTGACAGCCATAAACATATATATATAGTGTATTCTGATAACGATTTCATGTTCTCTTATTATATTGATTATTATGATTTTGTTGTTTTTATTGTTATCTATAAAATGAAGCACCCTGTGCGCTAATATATTTGCATGCTTTTCGGAGCATGAATGATATAGAGATTTTTTAGAATTTTGAAAACTGAGTTAAACAAATATTTACACGAAAATACTGATGGCCAATATCAATAATTCGGCAACTCTCATGCCTTAACTGCAAAGGGATTATACATTGCAACATGATTATACTGCTGCTATGCTCCCCGAATCTGGACTATACTTGCCTGGGGCATTTGTACATAATGTTCAGTTTGTTGATGTCGCGGTCGCTCATTTGCTGTCGCTGACCCATTATCTGCTCCGCGCCTGCTTTGAATGGCACAATGGTCATCTCGCCGTTCTTGGAGAAGCCGTAGGGCGAGTAGTGCAGGACGCTGCCATAGTCGTATTCCTGGTCGAAGTTATCCACTATAATGTCGTCAAATTTCTCGAAGTTGTGCTCCTTGCCTTCCTGAATATTTTCTACGGCAATGCGAACATATTTGTCACGGTCCGCTGAGCTCTGCTGATGATAGAAGCCCAGAGCATGCAGCATTTCGTGCATAATGGTGCCCATGCGAAAACAGCCCTCGTCCAAGGGATAATACTGCAGATTCATTTGTTGAACTCGGTTTTGGAAGCCAACAGCTGTAAAGCAGCCGCCTGGCTCCGAGGTTATATTCACGTAGTACTTCTGGTCCTTAGAGGCTTCTCGAAAGCTCAAGCAGGAGCTTACCTCGATTTTATTCAATGCGATAAGAATTTGCTCACGATGTGCCCGATCTGTATTGACTTAGTTGGTTAGTTGGCCAGAAATATCGAATGATAAGAAACCACCTACCGATGTTGCTGTTAATGTAATAGTAGACAATTTGATCGGGCCAGCGATAGCTATCTGCGCGCAGTCCATTTCGCTGCACTGGACTGATAATCATATCACCTTCTCTATAGCCAGCTGTCAGCTCCGGGTCGACTTCCGTGCGAGCTGCAGGTGCTGCGCAAATGTCATTTGACAGCAAAAGGATTAAGCTGATTATCAAGCACTGCCTCATGTTGTTCGTTGAACGGACTTGGGTGGAATGACGACATTTTGATTCACTGGCGATGACAATAGTTTGCTTACGAGTTTAATAGCCAAGTAATTTATCTTTATAGCAAATATTACCTTTAAATTTACAATGTGTATTTATTCTACGGGCCATAGATTATCTTATCTTCTCGAATCAATCGACTTGGCAATATGAACTGGGTTCGACGAAGACTCTACCAAACACCGCAGACTTCATTCGTTCCCTGTGGGCGTAAAGCCATTTCCCTATATCTCTTCCAACTGATCGCATATTATTCGAATAAAACACATTTCTTGATCGATTTAGCTGATGTTATTGTGAAACGACTCAAACTTTTCTCGGACACTTGTACATAGTATTTAATTTGTTAATATCGGCAGTACTCATTTGTAGTCGCTGTCCCATTATCAGATCGGCACCCTCTTCCAAGGGCACAATGGTCATTTTGCCGTTCTTGGAGAAAGCCGTGGAGCTGTAGTGCATTACGCTGCCGTAGTCGTAGTCCTCGTCATAGTTGTCCACTGTGTCCTTGTCGTACTTGTTGAAGTTGTTTTCCGTGCCCTCTGTGATGTTCTCCTCGACAATGCGAACGTAATCATCGCGATTCCACGTACTTTGCTGATGGTAGAAGCCCAAGGCGTGCAGAAACTCATGCACAATGGTGCCCAGACGGAAGCAGCCCGTGTCCAAATCATAATTCTGCAAATTCAACTGTTGCACACGGTTTCTGTAGCCGACATACGAGAAACAGCCGCCGGCCTCAGAGGTGACATTGACATAGTAAGGCTGATCGCTGGTGGCTTCCTTGAAGATGAGACAGGAATTCGCCTCGAGCAAACGTATGCCGCGAATAATGTGATTACGATGCTCCTGATCTAAAGCAACGAACTCAAATTCATATAAAATGCATTGGTCAAAACTGAAAGGTGAGTCTTACCAATGTAGCTATTGATGAAATAGTAGACAATGCGATCGGGCCAGCGATAGGTTTCATTGATCAATCCATTTCGGTTCTGATCACCCAGTATCATATCGCCCTCAGTATAGCCAGCTGTCAGCTCGGGATCGGTTTCCACTCGAGCAGCAGGCGCTGCAGAGCAGCTCTTCATCACCACAAGGACAATCAATATTTTAGGTAAGCACCTCATGTTGACAACTGGATGCATTGTTAGCGACTGTTGCGCCATTGGAATTCCACACGACTTCAGAAGTCGGTTAAACACATCATTAATAGCGCCACATTTATGGTATCCATTAAGTCATTTCAAATTTACAACTAGTATTTACGGCTTGAAAAGAACGGCATAAGGCTTTAGATCTTATCTAATCGAAAATTAAATGGTATTTAAGACTTGCGCAGAGGCTTAGCCATGTGGTAGAAAACCTCCATACTTAAAGACTGAATTTTGATTTGAAATTTTTTTAAATTCAATATATCTTTATGTAAATATATATAAACGCACTCGCAACTCACACTAACATAATCTTTTAGCAGTAATTTATGTAGTTGTATAAAAATAATAATATAAAAATAATATAGCTGCTTATCTTCACCCAGGGAGTCATTCACTCGTCTTGCCATACCTATAACGGGTGTTCTTTTTTATTTTTTACATAATGGCTTTATTTTCAAGCTCACAATAAAACGTTTTAAAATTTCTGTCTTAATTCATTAAATGAGTTAATTGAAATTGCTACAGCATATAGTAAGTAATCAATATATAAAAATATTTGTGAACAAAACGAATCTTGGTTGTTTTTTTATATAAAATATTATATAAAAATTAAAATTGTAAAGTCAATTTTGCTACATTAAAATATATTGCTTAATACATTTATAGGTATTAAATAAATTTTAAAACAAAATTAAAGCATTTGAAGTTTTTAGCTTCAAAAATAAAATATACATAAAATTATATAATAAGTAAATAAGATATTTAAAATATTAAACACAATCCCAAAATGAAACAAATATTTTTGTGACAGAAACTGTTTTCAAAATTGAAAAATAATCATTGCTTTTATGTTATATTAAATAAGTTTTGTATTTGGCTATTGGAAGTAATGCAACAAATTGCATTTCAGCTTCAGATAAAATTGAGTAATATTTATGACAAAATTATAAAATAGTTTTTGTATTTTCTAGATAAAATGTAAATAAACAAGGAATTGTGTAACCTTTTGATATGTCCTTAGGACTGCTGCTTGCGTGACCTTTTATCAGCTAGCTTGTCACTAGCAGTTGCCAAAATGAATCTGAGCATAAATGACAGCGACGCAGAGTGTATCTAATTACATTTGTCAACACAATAAACGGATTAAGGCAGCAGTCACGGAAGGAAAAGTGAAAAGCCGGATGACTAAATGACAATATGGCAATGAAATTTATCATCATTAACTTGACTAAATATGAAAAGAACTTTCACTCACCTTAGGGAATATGTCGCATGGAAATTACAAAAGACATTAGCGCGCTGCTAAAATTGCATATTATATGGCTTGGTTAGGTATAGTTATAAATGTACAGCATATTGTATGGAATGACATTAGATAACACATTTCATGTTTTTAGTTTTTTACGTCAGTCCTAAACGAAAGCTGCTCGATAAATATTTTAAAGTCTAGGCTCAGCTTCAATTGTCACCTGGAAAACACTTGATTAAACTGAATTGATAAAAGTGCTTTCATACGTGATGCTTCACTTTAAATTAATAAAATCACTGAATAACATTAACTATTATTTATTCTTATCTTTAAAAATATAATATACCTTGAGCTTTTAATTTCATTGTGTTACGTTTTCCAATTCAATATACTCGCACTGAGTATGTGAAACCATTACTTTTGCTGGAAGTCAAGTCAAAGTTAAAAATAAAACATATTAGAAATTACTCTACATTTCAACATAAAAAAAAGAAAATATTAAATGAACTGAAATATACATATATATATATATATATATATATATAACATATATTATATATCATATATAATAATAGAAAAAACTATTATAATAATACTGATATGATAATCTGCACGTGCTACGATATAGTTCACATATATAACTCACACTTTCCTTCCGCACAGAACATTCCTCGACTACGGAGGAACTGTATCAAACCGATGAGGACTAACAGCGCCAATATCACAATGATTATCTCAATTTTCCAACGCTTAATGAAAGCAATATAAAAATCAGCAGTCGCCGGCAGGCATATATTAAGAAATTCCATATAAACCTCAGGGCAGTGGCACGTGTTGGCGGACTCACATATCCGATTTGGGGCACAGCCTGTTGGACAAACTGAACTAGAGATATTATGACTGAAGCCGGGATTGGCCGACAACTGCCGACAGCTGCCGTCCTCGATTGGCTGGTAGCCAGCATCACAGTCGCATTTGTTTGGAGCAACGCAGCGGCCGTTCTTGCATCCACTTGAGCAGACGGGCACGCAGCTGTTTAAGAAATAGTTCAAATCAAATGCAGATTTGTTGAAAATCAAAATCTAGCCAACCTCTTAGTTGGGTCGTGTCGCATGTTTTCGTAGCCTTCATGGCAACCGCACACATTGGGCGCTCGACAAAATCCATTATCACACGAAGATATGCATATGGGCTCACACAAATATGAGTTTGCAGTATTCGGAGAAAACTTATAGCCCTTGCAGCATATCAGAATCTGATTGAAGTAGTATTGCAATGAATTATGATATTTGAAAATCCTTTACTTAGTCCACAACTCACTCGCTGCGCTCTATTTTTCGAATTATAAACTGTTTTTGTACATGCAGTTACCAGCAATAAGCCGGATAATGTTGGCAGTATTATCAGAGCTAGGTAGTTGCTCGAATGCATATCGAAATCAGACTGAGAGGGCCCCAAAGCGCACGCAAATAAAATATTGCAAGCTCGGTTACTCATATGCACTCTTCTTGCTCTTTATATGGGAAATCAGGCTATAATGGTTTTGTGCAAATGTATGTAACAGGCAGACCCCATAAAATATATATATATTCTTGATCAGGTCGACAAGCCGAGTCGATTGAGTCCTGTCCGTCTGTCTGTTCGTGTGCCTGTGCAATTTTGATTGTTAAACTTTGGATGCCTGTTTCAAATGCCCCCAAATTCTTTAAATTTAAGTTCAGTTAGAAACAGAGCCAATAATAGAAGGAGTATGCATTTCTATCAAGCCAATAAAATATGTAAATCATATGCCGAAAATAATAAAATCCATTAAGCAGAAATTATTAAACAAAACGTTTGGACAATTTGCATAGCGCCTAGCGCTTACTTTTCTTTGCTTGAAGTGTATCCGCACGACGACTGTTCCCTAGTACACTGTTGGGATAGGTCTAGGTATAAAATACATTGCATATTAGGAAAACTTTTCTGAACAGAAAACAATGAAGATATAGAGGGAGCACGTAAGAGTAGAGAGCGATAAGGCGAGAGTAAGAGAGAGAGAGAAAGATGGAATGAGAACGGAAGTCAGAGAGCAAGCCTATATTATATTATTATAAGTTGTTAAGCAATTATTTGCATTGAATAAATTCATTCGATTTAAATTCATTGATTATATTGAGTATATATATATATGATTATATATATATATATATAGATATATAAAGAAGCCTTAGCACAATTCAAAGACAATGAGTGACCCATCGGCAAACTAAAGTATATTAAATTAAGTTTTTCACACTAGCTCCCTAAGTTTAAAGTGTAAGTGCAGTTTTAGTATAGATTTTCATGTAGAGAATTGGAATTCAAAAATATACATATATGTATATATATATATATATATATATATATATATATAATAAAATTAACTTTAGTTCGCCGATGGGTCACTCATTGTCTTTGAATTGTGCTAAAGTTTCTTTGATTACATTATCTTTAAATTCTTTTAAAACGTGTAATTTATATAGTTTGGGCAGATTTTCATTTCCATTGTTATCTTTAAGATATTTCAGTTAAATTTCAAATTCATACGTTCAGCCTTAACATCAATAAATGCTTTTCTCGGGGATTTGATCAATCGTTGAATCATCAAAACTACAGAAATCTTGCATCCGCATGATTCAGCTGCTATTATTGTAGGCTTACGATCAAACTATATTTGTGTATAATCGACGACTAAAACTAGACTCTTAGATTCGTACTTCAATCTAATACAAATATCCCATGGCTTTGAAATTTAGCTAAATAATGGAAAACACATTTAGTTTACCCTCAGAGGATCCACTCGTCCACCGGTCATTGGAAAATTCATACTTCTAGTTGAGTAAAGTCTGTATTGCGTTACAAAACGTGTTAAAGTCCTAGCTAACTATAAGTAATTAAAGGTTTTTATTACCGACGACTACATCTAGACTTAATTTGTAAGTTTACATTATTTTAGTTGGTTAGATTGCGTCATAAAACCTGTTACCTGGGGCCAATTATAAGTGACAAATTTACATCTACCAATTATCGAACATCCGCGGCCTAATCGTCAGAATTTATATTAATATTTATAATATTTTCCTTAGATTTTAGTAATTGAACACAAATTCGCATCATATATTCCATATAATGAATCATATATTCCATATAATGACGTGAACTTTTCAGAAAGAAAGAGAAAGAGAATATGCGAATGAAGCAAATCAAAAATAATAAAAACTTGTTTTCCAATAATATGTATTTAATTCTTAACAAATTGCCGTATAAAACAAAAACAAAAGTTAATCAGTAAAATATTTAATCAAAGAAAACTGAAACAAAACGCATAAGAAGATAAGAATTAAATACATGTTATTGAAAAACAAAAGTTTTTTTGATTTGCTTCATTCGGTTGAAAATTATTGACTCACAAAGTTCAGTGTCAACTTTGGAAACACTTTTGCTCCCTACTATATATATTTATATATGTAATACATTTTTGTTTTTTTTTTTTTTAATTGCTGTTTTTATTTGCAATCTGTCTTATACTAGACAATAAACAAATTTGTTAACATAACCGGATGGATGGGGCTCCAATGAGATTAATCCATATATTTACCTACTTTACATATTTATCTATTTCTTTGGGGCAGGTCTAGGACATGGAATCTTTTGAGTCGCATGTGGTTGCTTGAGTCATCCAGTAGTCTTAGTGTTTATTCATATATCTGTTTGCATATAGTTGTATTTCTTCTTTACCAATAGACAGTTTAACATCTTTGTGGATATTATAATTAGACTTGTTCTGGTATCGCTGTATAATTTCGATATTTGAATTACTGGCAGTATCTTATAACTGCAATGCGTAATATATTATAAATAATAAAAAACTATTATAATAATAATAATATGATAATCTGCACGTGCTACGATATAGTTCACATATATAACTCACACTTTCCTTCCGCACAGAACATTCCTCGACTACGGAGGAACTGTATCAAACCGATGAGGGCTAACAGCGCCAATATCACAATGATTATCTCAATCTTCCAACGCTTAATGAAGGCAATATAAAAATCAGCAGTCGCCGGCAGGCATATATTATAGCCGCCGTCCTCGATTGGCTGGTAGCCAGCATCACAGTCGCATTTGTTTGGAGCAACGCAGCGGCCGTTCTTGCATCCACTTGAGCAGACGGGCACGCAGCTGTTTAAGAAATAGTTCAAATCAAATGCAGATTTGTTGAAAATCAAAATCTAGCTAACCTCTTAGTTGGGTCGTGTCGCATGTTTTCGTAGCCTTCATGGCAACCGCACACATTGGGCGCTCGACAAAATCCATTATCACACGAAGATATGCATATGGGCTCACACAAATATGAGTTTGCAGTATTCGGAGAAAACTTATAGCCCTTGCAGCATATCAGAATCTGATTGAAGTAGCATTGCAATGAATTATGATATTTGAAAATCCTTTACTTAGTCCACAACTCACTCGCTGCTCTCTATTTTGCGAATTATAAACTGTTTTTGTACATGCAGTTACCAGCAATAAGCCGGATAATGTTGGCAGTATTATCAGAGCTAGGTAGTTACTCGAATACATGTCGAAATCAGACTGAAAGACCAGCAAAGCGCACGCAAATGAAACAAGTCTCCTATGCGCTCTTCTTGCTCTTAATGTTGGAATTCAAAGTATACTGGTTTTGTGCAAATGTATTTAACACAAATATATGCAAGCCCCATAGGTATATATATATTAACGAACAGTTGACTGATCGTCGCTCTTTTTCATTTCTCTACCTCGCACCGAAATACACACTCGACGACAACTTTTTTGTCGCCGCGATACATATTCTACCAAAAAAGTGCCATTAACGACAATTCAATATTTCGTCTTAATGCGAAAGTACAACACAGCAAAGCGCTCTTAAGTAATAGTTTCTGGGTTTGATCATGGCGGGGATGGGACGCTTTTTATTGTCTTTTTATTTTTATACCCTTCCCATTGAAAATGGGAAATCAGGGTATAATGGTTTTGTGCAAATGTATGTAACAGGCAGAAAGAGGCGTGGCAGACCCCATAAAGTATATATATTCTTGATCAGGACGACGAGCCGAGTCGATTGAGACCTGTCCGTCTGTCTGTCTGTCCGTCTGTCCGTATATGTGAACGCGTGGATGGTGGTGGTGTTGGTACAGTTGGTGCACGTTGCGCAAACAGTCCGGGTTCGAAGCTTGGTCGTGCAATGTCGTTTTTTATTTGTTTTATTTTTTTTTGAATACTCGATACGAACTACGGAAAATAATAAACTCAGAGGACTGGGATCAGGGTATCTCCTAGTCGGGCACCCCGACTAGAGCTTTCTTACTTGTTTTTTTAGCGGTGTTGGTAGAATTGATGCACATCGAACACAAGTGTGGCTGCGATGAGATTTCCGACATTCTTGAGCAATTGATATATAATAATCATTATATATATTTTGGTTAGTGAATATTTTCAGAGAGTGAGAAAAGTGGGAGCACGTAAGAGTAGAGAGCGATAAGGAGAGAATAGGAGACAGAGAGAGAGAAAGATAGAATGGGAACGGAAGACAGAGAACAAGCGTATATAAGTTGTTAAGCAATTGTATGTTTAATATAAATTCATTCGGCAGTAAATACGTTGATGTCATTGATTATTTACGTTTGGAGCATAGCCAAAATGTGTAATGAATTTTTGACATAAGTGAGCATATACATATATTCAAGCATCATCAGCATGAATGTTTACGACACTGAAATAATATATATTTTTTATTTTTAGCTTTAGTTTATTTTTGGAAATAAAGAACGTAGGTCAGGTCTTATTGTGCCACACGACTTTGAATTATCGATTCCATATAATGACGTGAACATTTCGGAAAGAAAGAGAAAGAGACGGGGAGATAGAGAGAGATGAGTGACGTCAGTCTACAATCAATTATTATTTGTTCTTAAAAACTCTTTAATAAGAGAAAGGGGAAGAAAGAAAGTGAGATACATAGAAGAAGATAAAAAAGAATGAGAAGTGCCTGTAAGATTACAAGGCTTAGACTCAATATTTACGTTTAATTGTATCACTCTGTTTAGTTGGCTTTAACTAACCAGATTTAATGGGTGTGTGATATATTTTATCAGCAGGCGAAACACTCTGAATTCAGTGAATATTATTTAGATTTGGGGGCATTTAAATTTGCATTTGCAATTGCAAGCGACGGGAATCAAGTGTCTCCTTTGCTTTTTCCTCCGCATTGTCCAACAACTGCATTTTGTTCTTCCTGCTGACTGTTAATCCGCAAAACAAAAAGGTTTGCCCCAGCCGGTAAAGGAAATGTTCGCATTTGGCTTTGGCTGGCACTAAAAATTGAATATTTAGTTGTCGTAATTAAAAATTAGCGCACCAGAAGCAAAGTAAAGCAAAGCAAAGCCAACAGCCAAGAGCTGAAAGCTATGCCCATGCCCATAATACCAGCTCGAGCTTGTTATCTGTGTGGCTGTGTGTGTGAGCGTGGTTCTGGGTGTTGTATGCAGCTGACTCGTATATGCGCGTATATTTGGCTTTCTAATGGCAACCACCAACTGGCTGAGCTACCTACAACACACACAAACATGTACAAAACGGAAGTCGTAAGCATTTAATTTATGCAGGCAATGCATTTGCGTTTTTAGTTACAACTAAAGATGGCCAACAGGATGGGCAACAGGAAAGCTGTAAAGCCACAGTGCCAGAAGACAGGCCAGACCAGCTGCAAGTGCTTTAACTCAGATACTATTAAGTGTTCCTCTACAGAACGGGAATAGATAATTTTGCGTTGAATCGATAAAGCATAATGAGCAGAATTTACAAAAAAATATATATTTCCACGTTTATGTCATAAAACTTTCTATTCTATAAACTTAATTTCGTTGAAACTAAAAATACATTTGTTAGTTTTCTTATGAGTTAAACTAGTGTAGCTCTAAAAAAAGTACTCGATATGTACTCTAAAAGCAGGTTTAGCAGCTAACAGGCAAATTAACTATTTGCAATGCCACAGCCAAAAGATTACTGAAGAATAAAATTTGAAAATTTGTTTTTTTTTTTTTTTGCAGCTCAAATGAACTTTTGATCAAAGAAAAGCAAAACTAATATCTTAAGTAAGCTTTAAGTGAACAATTTAAAATACTAAACACAATTTAGCAACGAGCAAACCGATTCCATTTAAGGCTGATTCGTGCTAGTCGCTCTTTAATATATATTTTGAAAATAATATGAATGGAATTTAATGGGTTAAGGCGGATGATAGGCGAACGCCTGGCCATCAACTATTACCCAAGAGCAGTAAAAAAGTCAGCGCGTTGGCCAAGTTTTTGTTTGCTGGCTTCTACTCGAAACTCGAGACGATTCGTTGGCTGCTCTGCGCTGCTTATGATCGTTCTAATTTTATGACATTCTATTTTCATGCATAGGCAAAAGAAAATTGTGTGTGTGCGTGTGTGTGTGTGTGTGTGGGTGAGTGCAGGCATAGCCATTTCATAGTCAGACATGAATGCTGCGCTTTGTTGCTGTGCTACGCCTTTGTTTGTATTGCCCTCAGGGGTAAAGTTTTTAGGATAATAACTTCCTGCGACTTTACGAGCCAAGCAAAAGCCAAAACCCAGCAGCACAAGCAACCAGCAACAACAATCACAACAACAACACCAGCAGCAGCAGCAGCAGCCAAAGGGAAATGTGAATACTTAAGTCGGCGAGCGCCGTGCATGTGAACAAAATATCTTGGAACCACACTTAAAGCACACTTAGCGAACAAGCATCTCAATGACACAAGATGCAAACATTGTTCTTGGCTAACAATTAATCTTGATGCCAGCTTGAACTTGAAAGAAGCACTTACAAATGGTTGGGCTTTTGAGCACCAACAGCCAAGAGCTTTGATACTAAAAAGCTTGAATAGATGCAAAAACTTAAAAAGTACTTAAAGCTTCCAGAAAATCAAATATGTATTTTTGTTAGCGCAGTGATCATTTAAAATGTGAAAATATCTTATCTTAAGTGAAAGCTTAAAAGTTTACTAGGTGTAAATGAAGTATAAGTTCGTAACAAAGCTGCAATATGGAAACTGATTAATTGTAAGCATTTTGGTACTTCCCTTATTAAAGCAGAGGCATCAGACTGCATACTTATACAGAAAGAAGTTATTTGAGCATTACCTGTTAAAGCTTAATTATACAAAAGCGTACTTAAAACTTAAAGCTCGAGCAACTTATATTTGCAGCTAATGTCATTCGCACACAAAACTAAGGCAAATGCCAAGAAATCAGCACATTAACACGATGGAAGCGAGAAACTCTTAGAGATTCGCACCCGGGAAAGCCGCAGAAACTTTTGACGTTGAGGAAGACCGCAAGGACAAGCAGTGGGCGAGGGCGGTGCGTGGTGCGCATTAAAGACGCACAGACGCTACATCCATGACTCTGGGCATAATCTCAGACATAATTACACACAGACAACCAGCCAGCCAGACAGACAGACAGAGCCTGACAAATGCAGTCTCACATGAATGGGGCTGCCTGCCGGCTGGTTACAATTTTGCTTTCTATCTTTTTGCGATTTATTTGTTGTAGCTGGTTTTTCAGTTCAAGCGAAAGTTAAATTAATGTCGGCCTTAAAGGTGCCACAGGTTGGGCGCGGTCGCACGCGCAGCCTGAGCTTCCGACTTACTCATTTCGTGGAATTCGCTTAGAAACTTTGCGGCAAGCAACTGTTAAAAGTGTATTTAAAATTAATTAAGCATATGACGCGTTGTCTGTGCAACTAGACAAAATGACTAATAAATGTTAGCCAAGCAATGCCAAATTCCATATACCCTACAAAGTGTTGTATCGAGATATATCGATATTAAGATTGCATATTTTATTAATAAGAATTTACTAAACTAAATGATTCATTTAGATTTAGAAAGCTATGCTTACCTGTCAATTTTTTTTACATATAATTGATTGAAATGGGTCAGTTACGGCTTTTAGAAACACTAAAAAAATAATCACCATTTAATATGTGAGCTACTATTATATAATGATTATGTTTTCAAAGTGTTTATAAATTTATTTACTTTCTGTAAAAGAAATAAGAACAAAAAAAATTAAATTAATAATATTGTAAAATTATGGAACTAATGGCGTTTGCAATTAAAACTTTTGCAGGCGCGTAATTTGATTTAACGCCTGACTTTGAGTCTCTCTACTCTATTTCCCTCTCTGTCTAGCTCTCACACTCCATCTCTCTCTGTCTCCTATGGTGTCTCTGCAATCAAATCAAAATGCCAAGTTAAATGAAGCCAAAAGTTTCAATGTATGTGCGCCGGTTTGAAGCATTGCTACACCCACACTCACACACACACATGCGAAGTCCCTCCCATACACACATACACACTATCTGCCATCCATTCAGCATTCTGTAGCCCGCAGGCCGCTTAATACGCGGCTTCTAAAACTTTAGGCACAATATCGCTAATGATAATTACAAGCTAAAACTTTTGCAACATTTGCTAGTCCTTTCCCCTTGCCAACAGCCGCACACCCACACACACACACTTAGTATGTTTGTTTGTTTTCCAGTTGGCAACACCAAAGCATAAATTTGAAATTTTTCACTGGTTTGCGCAAAAGTTCAGCAAAATATGAGAATTACAAGCGAATATTAAAAATATTCTATGATGAAAATAAACGTATATAAATGCTAATATTTATAAATAAACGAACTGCTGTGCCCGGCTTGACCTTTTCATGTTTTTCTAACGAATTTGTCTGCATCACTTTGCCATCACTTTTTTCATATATTTATATTTAAAAACATATTTTTAAAATATTTTATATATAAATTGATTTTTTTCAATATTAGAAATTCATTTAATTGGCAGAGCTGACTCTATTTAAACAACTTTTAAAGATCGAAGAAATTTATATATATATATTATATTTATATATTTTTGTTTATGGAAAAAGTTTCTGTGCTCTTCTATCTAATTTGATGTGCCATCGAGACAGTTTATCAGAAAAGGTTACCTAAAGCAAGGGCATACCATATTCGACCTGGTACAGATATTTAATAAATATATAATATAATAAGATATGCATTCCAATTAAATACTAAATACTTTATAAATGTAGAACAAACAAAATAAAGTTAAAGTTATGCAAAACCTGAATAAGATTCCAGCATAAATGACTCATGTGTTTCGTCATTACATCTGTCGCATTGCTGCTTATCAAGACTATTGAAATTCCATTTGGTAAGCCGAAAGCCATTTCAAGTTTAACTACTTCGACAGACAATGTCAGTGGAACAACTCTATTTCTGCTAAATTCCCTGCCTTCCTCTGCCATGCGCATTCAAGTCGAGCCGCAAATGAAGTGCAAATTAGCCTCGAGTGTGAGCCGATGCGGTGTTTCGCCTGATTATCAATGTGGGTGACGCATGTCGTGGCACAAGCCCAGCAAGCCACCGACTTATCAGTGCGAGCGAGATAGCAGCCAGAGTGAGAGAGACGACTGAATTTTATGTGGAAACTTTGGTTCGTATCATGGGAAAAACTTTAATAGATTAATTAAGCACAGCGCTCTCATTGCAGGAAATTGAAACCAAAAGCAAAAGTGATAAAGAACGAGAGCGAGAGAGAGGGAGAGGAAGAGAAAGAGAGAGATTGAGATTGAGATTGAAAGATTTATGGCAAAGGCTGTAGATCAGCTGCTTTGGAACGCTTCTAATTTCAATTTCGAGTGCCAAAGGCGAAAGTTTTTGAAACTTTTGCTGAAATCGTGAATATTTTATTGCCCATTTTCGGGCAGATGCACACGCTTAACGCACAAACACATAAATATTGACTGGCGTCGACAGCAGTCAGCGATGCGCGAACATCGCCTTTTATCGATTTAATTTAATTAAAATTAATTCACCAATAATTGACTTTTAATATGCAATCATTTGTATGAGAGCGCGCTGCACTAGCTCCTCTGTGAAATGCCCAATTCTGAAAATTCGCATTATGCATCATTAACAAATTACGATTTATTAAATTGTGCAGACGCTGATAGCTGCAATTGAAGCCAGACGCTCAGCGCATCGATGTGAGAAACGTGAAGTAAGAGAAGGCGCCCTGTAGTATCTGTAAGGTGGAAAGAGAGCGGAAGAGACAGAGTGAGAGAGTGGAATGTAACGTAAGACGAAGACATGACACTACCTTCACAACCGCCTGCAGGCTGACTCGAAAGTATTTTAAGCCCGTCATATAGAAGGTCCTGCAATTCAGTTCGATTGACAGCGCAACGACCTTCAGCAGTCGCAGATTCTCACGTGGATTGGTGGAGTAGTAGAGCACCTGTTCCCATTGTGTTTGATAGTACATAGTGCTGAGCGAGTCTGTCTGCAAGGTGAAAGGGTCATATTGAATCTTCAAAGAAGCTAAGCCAACTCTTACCACAAAAGCCAAGTCGGAGCCCAGCTGACCCAAGGTGAGCAGCTCCACAGTTTTGGCACCAAACCATACCGGATATATATAAGTGCCCGTTGGACTCTGTAGGGCAATTAAAGCAAATTAATCAACCTTCGAGTATCGCAGTACACACGCTCCTACCGCAATGGTCTTGAAGCCCAAGGCGCACAGCAAGACGGCGCTGCAGGCGAACATTATAAATACGCGAACCGTGAAATGCGACTCCAGTTGCTCTCCAAATCTATTGAGCACGACGTTTTGGCGTAGAGTCTTGACCAGAAGCTCGCGCAGCTGCTGTGCCATTAGAGGACGTTGCCTGGCAGCCAATATCTGTTCGATGGAGGCTTCCATGTCTTGCTGCAACAGTATATAGCGACCCTTCAGATGGGTGATCAGTTCGCAGAGCAGTGTCGTCTCACCGAACACCAGCGTGTCAATGATCAGACCGACCCAGATGCTGCTCAGAATCAGTGGAACGAATATGTAGAGTGGCTCAACATTGAAGGCCGGAATCATGGGAAACAAGAAGTCCCTTCGCTTCGTTATCAGCATCGTAATTGGCGCTATCACATAGCCAGAGACAGCCAACAGATACAATAAGGCAACCAGACGATTCGGCAGCAGCTTACGTTCAATTTGGCCAAAGAGTTTCGGCTGAGTCTGACGATCCACATAGATAGAACCGAAGTACGTTTGCAGCAGCTGGTGCAGCTCTCCTCTATACATTAAAACGTGCAGAGAGCGCAGCTGAAACTCGACGAGGATTAGATAGGTGGGCATCCCGGTCAGCAGAGTGTCAAGATTGGTGCGCTGGAAGCGCAAATAGCGCAGCTCCGCTTCGTTATGCAGCATTAGAATCAAGCTGCCAATCAATGCCATCGCATAATCAAAGCGACGCCAAAAGGGCGTGGTGCTCGCATCGAGAGGCCAGAATATATGATTATAGCGATAAATAGTCAATGGCCAGGAGAGCTTCACTCTTTGACCATCCGCCAGCCGAGGCACGTAACGAACCATAATCAAGACTATAAGTGACTCGGAAGCAGACAGTGTCTTATATACTACAATATCATCTAGACACACGCACAAAGAGTGGCTATTCGCTCGAGGGACTTCGCTGTTGACAGTTGCCAACTTTTTAATGAGCTCTCCCATGCGTGCAATGGCTCAATTAAGTTATTAACCCAAACAGAGTAACGAAAACAGTTCAAACTTTAACAACAATTTTGGCTCATTTGCTATGTAATCGCTTTGTTCTTAAATACTTGAGTAGACAGAGGGTCATTGTCTACAATGTCAGCGGCTGATGGCATTAGACTAAGTCGAATTCTATATAAATGGAGTTGGGTTTCATTGAAAGTCCTTGTTTAGTTAAGCAAACAAGCAGCTCAGCTTGAATACGGCAGAGAGCAGGAAGAATAGAATATTATTTTAAGATATTCCCTGTCTTAAGCTGATATAAATTTGAAGAGTTGCATTAACTTTAGTACACACAAACTAACCAAGCATCTCTTCAATTTCTATTCTCTTGTTTTAATTTATATATTTCTCTTCAGCTGGCTTAGCTGCTTATTGTTTATTATTCTGGATCAGAAGCTTTCTTTATATCCAAACACTGCTCCAACAAAAGTAGATAGAATATCAATAGAAAGTAGAACTATATTCGCATTGAATCTAGTAGACACTAGACACCTTGTAGAGCTGAGTGTATAGATAATGCCTACATCTGTTGAAATGCTTTATAAACCATGGATTTAGCAATAGCTGTAAACTTCTAAAACTGATTAGGAAAGTATTTCCCGGCACAATTGCTTCGCATTCCATTTGTGACTCAAATGTATATTAATCTGCTTTGCCACAGCAACTACAATCAGCAACGCTACTCAATTCTAGCCCACAACATCCACTAGCTTTTCGAGCTAATATTGTAAGTCCCCAGCCTTAACGCCCCAGAGGCTATGCTCTACTCTAATCCCCCATGTGTTCATTTAGTTGGCGCTGCATAAAGAAGTCACTTAAGTAATTCATAAAAATCAATTAACTCCGAAGCGCAACTTTTGCACCCAGCGATGCCATTACTTACCCCTGCCTTGGTGCAGCACCACCACCAAGCACTGCCAGCCCACTCTGCTGCAGCTGATGGCAGTCTGACGCATTTGCGGCTTGCCGGCTGCAGATAGTGGCAACAGTTTGTGTTATGAATATTTTAAGAGACCGTTAAGCAACAGAGACAAACAGCGCAAACAGCAGGAAAAAGCGACAAAACCTAAGTCCGACTTCCACTGGCTCATGGCACCCGTCCCTCGACCCAGTGTCGTCCAGTGTCCAGTGTCCAGTGTCCAGTTGGAGCTGCAGTTTGCTCGCCACATTCATCTTAATTTCCTGTCACGACAATGGCAACGACGTTGGCGCTGCTCAGACCCGGCACGTTGAACGCTAGTCGGGCCAAGAGTGCGTGTGGCAACAATGAAAATCCGAAAAAAACCCTCAATTCTACGTCTGCCCGCCCCTGCCTCATTCCACAAGCAACTGATTTTTTCTAGCGCTTTTCAAGCCTTTGTGGCAACTGTTTCACAGCCTTTACTCGCAGGCTACAGCAGCTGGGGGGGCCACAGAGCAGAAACTGTGTCTAGTCCGTGCTGTCCGCCTGTGGGCTTTGTTTTGCCATGTGGCATCGCGTGGTTCGAGTTCATAGCGATGCCGAATGCCATCAAACGGCAAAGGGCCAAAAGCGTTTGTAGAGGCATCCAAAACGGCGGCATAAACAACACAAATGTGAGTTAGCCTTTCTGTGCAGGAGAGAGAGAGACGGGGAGAGAGAGATGGTATGTGTGTGTGTGTGTATGCGTGTGTGGCAGCCCCTCTTCTTCCATTGTATGCGATGCTATCGCGTGCCACAGGATATTGCACTCTAAGCCAGTAGATGGCGTCATGTAAAGCTGGACAACATCCGATTAAAACTTTACGATGTGCGTGTATCCCAGACGTCCCTCTGTGTGTGTGTGTGTGTGCGTGGGTGGTGTATGTGTGCAAATGGAAGTGTGCTTGTGTGTGCTCGTTGGTCAGCAAGTGGATAAATTCTCATTTACTGCTTTTTTAAGCACGTTGTTTTTGTCGCTTTTTCTTTGCTTTGCTTGTCAGCTTGAAATGCTCTTGCCAACGACTGGGTATACGAGTTTCTTAATACATTTTAAAACTCATTAAAGAACTTTCTAAATATACGTATTAAACTTTTGCATTTGAATGAAAGATTAAGCGCTACACATGAAGCTTTAAGGGGAAAGACGATGCCCTGCTTATAGCTTAAGTCTATAGATATATAAGAACAGAATGCAACATGTTGGTGCTGAATATGCAGCAACTGGTGCCAAGACGAAATATGAAGTTCAGCTTCAGCTGCTGCCCTCTTTTAAAACCTTTCTCTTTTAGCATGTTTTTCTATAATATTTCTGCCTATTTCTCTCCCTCTCACTCTCTCCCTTTTCCTCTCTATAACTCTTGCTCCTTTTTCCTTTTTTTTGTGCTTGCATTTGTATATTTTACGAAATTTGATAATTTAGCTTTGATCAGTTTACTCCTCAGCTTTCTGCAGGACACTTAAAGACTTTTGATGACTTTACTAAAGATAGACCTTTCTATTGATCATCAACAGTTATAAATATATTTTGACTAAATTAAAATCACAGTAATATATTTTTACTGTAGAGTATTCAATTGTCATTCAACCGTGGCTCATGTATTTTATTTTTGTTACTAAATGTGCATACAGCTGCCGCTGCTGTTGCTGCAGCGCCCTCTGTCGGCTAGTTTCAGCATGTGTGTAAATTGTCCCCTCGTTATGGGGCTGTGTGAGGCTGCTGCTGCTGGGGCAGGAGGTTAGTGTTTGGGGCAATAGCGCAGCATGTTAAACTGACCGCAAGCATTGTTTATCATTAAGTGTGGCCCGCCGCCCGCTTGAGTGTCCATGGCTCGGACTGCTGCCTAGCCCGACTTGCTGCCACATGTGGCACATGACATATGTGTCAGAAGGCTGTGCGTGCCAGCGGCTCTTTTTTCCAACTGGCCAAACATGTGTAACGCGATCCCATCTTCATCTAGCTGCTGCAGATTTCAGTTAATGGAGCCGTTAGTTAGTTGGTGTCAACCCGAAATCCAAATGAAATACTTAGCTTAAAGAGCTCAAACATTAAATAAAGCAAATCAAATAAACTGCAAAGTTTTTTGGCCAACAGTCCCTTTGTCCTATGGCCCCGATACCCCGAAGAGTGCAGCGAGTGCATGCAAAACTTTTGTAATTAGGAAGCAATGTCGGTCATTAGCAGAGAGCGAGGCAACAGCGGAGGCTGCATGGCTGCCTGTGGGCGGGCGGTGTGGGCTGACAGAGGCTGCAACTGCTGCGGCTGCCATTCAGTGAAGATATCACAAAAAAGCGCCAGAAGTCAAAACAATAACGCAAATGTTCAGTTCGACCAAAGAAAAACTCATTCGATTGTCACGACTTCCAAATGCGCTTTATTGCGAGATGAACTTTGTACTATGGCTAAGACTAAGGGCTACAGGTCGAAACTTTATATATAGCTGTATACCAAGTACAGATAGAACAAGGATTCTTCAATGCCGTCTTTGATGCACTTTGAAGCAGGCCCGATTCGAGACTCCAAAGCACTACAGCCAAACAAAGAGCTACTAAACGAACTGGGGCGATTTCGACCAACATTTTGGCTAACAATACTCTAAATAGAAATTGCAGAAAGTCAACTCACAAAGATGGGGGCTCGGGTGCTTTTGTGCAATTGGACGAGCATCAAACGTAATTTTAATAAAGTTTGAATGCAAAAGTTTCTGATTTGAAATGCATATAAAAGTTAACTATTTCCGACGCTCTCTGCTGCGAAAGCTGAATGTGTGTAAAAAGTTTGTAGTTTTTTTTTTTTACTTTCTTTCTTGTTGCATTCATTGTGCCGATCACTGGCTGCGTTGAGGGCGGGAGACAGGCCACTAACATGGCTCAAACAAACAGCGGATGTGGCAGGCACTGGTCGCGCCGCCCCGCCACTGACGAGAGACGACGACGACGACGCCGCCGCTGCGTCGCGCCAGGTCATGGTCATAAATTAAAGGCAACAAACCGACTGCGGAAGTAAGTCGCAAACGGACGAACGGCGAATGCAAAGACAGCGCCACTGCTGCAGTGTGGTGCCATGTGCTGCGGTGCTGTGGTCGCTCGCAGCGCAGACAAGTGGATTTGTGGCCATTACATCTTGAACCACACAACGGACTCGGACCGTCCGACTCGGGCCGGCACTGAAGCTGTGCGGAAACGCAAGCTGTGCTGTTAAGTAGCCTCGAGTCAGTCTCAGCGTCGTCCTGGCTAACGATCAACTCGTAACAACTGGCCCCAGGCCGGACTTCAAAGTTTTTTTCCTCAGCTACAAGTCATGGAGCAACTGACGCTGGATGCAGATGCAGCGGATGGAAGTGTTTCATTCCACCAGCGGCTGCAGTGTAACTGCGCTGTTTAACTGTCCCATCCCTCTCTTACTCCCTCTCTCTCTTCCTCTTTTTCTCAGTCTGTCTCTCTTTTCTGATTCGAAAGGACTTTTGCTTTGGCGATTTTCAGATATGTTGCCTTGGCGTGTGACTTGAAAATTAATCTTCGAGTGAGTAGAACGGCTATGATTATGTATACGACTAGTAAATACTCTTTAATACATGCATGCACTTACCTTTGGTATATATATTCATTTCTTTGGTATCTAGTATTATCAAGAAATGACCTTTAAACTTGCATAAATGCCCTACAATCAATGAGCTGCCTGAACTTTGTGTTTATTGGAACTTCACTAATATCTTTGCATATGCGAACTTACAACTGCAAAGGACACTTGTACATGGTGTTGAGGCGAATTATGTCGGCTGTGCTCAGGGCAAGTCTTTGTCCCATTTGCAATTGACCCTCGGGCTGCAGGGCGACAATTGTTGCTTCTCCGTTCTTTGAAAAGGCCGTGGCACTGTAGTGCAGAATGCTGCCATAGTCATATTTTGCATCGAAGTCTTCTACTCGATCCGCTTCGTACTTCTTAAAGTTGCTCTCCTTGCCATCGATTATATTATCTTCGATTATTTTTACGTATTCATCGCGATCCGTAGCGCATTGCTGATGATGGAAGCCCAAAGTGTGCAGCAGCTCATGCTGTATGGTGCCCAGGACAAAGCAACCTTTGTCCAAAGCATTTGGCTTCAGCTTGATTGTCTGCTCGCCGCCGAGGTAGCCAACCTTGGAGCTGCAACCATCTGGCGAGACGGTGACCAGCACATAGTCCACAGTTTCCGCAGTGGCAGGCTCAAAACGTATGCAGGAGGCAAGTTCGATGCGTCGCATTCCCAGCTTAATATGTCCAGCCTGCTCAGTATCTATGATAACGTGAATATATTAAAGACGTGGCTAGAATGCCTTAGGGAGATCACCTACTGAAAGCCTCATCTATCTTGTAGTAGACTGTGGCATTGGGCCAATGTCGTGCCGGGGATATCTCTCCATTCCGCTCAAACTCTACTTCCATGTCACCCTGAAAGTAGCCAGCCGTAAGCTCCGGATCAGTTTCCACAAGCTGCTCCTGGACGGGTGCTCCATAGCCGCCCAAGCAAAAGCAGGCAATTAACAGAAGAACAAACTGTTTCCAAGCTGCTAACATTTTTAACTAATCCACACAACAACTCACATTTAGCTAATTGGCTCTTGAACATTAGATTGTCTCTAATAAAAAATATCTCAAGTTTGATAAAGCTAATCAGTTTTCGATTTGCTACTAGCTATACCCTGTAAATTGCCAGTAGCTCAAAAGGGATTTATGTTTATTATAATTTAATTAACATAAAAAACTGTGCTTGTTGGATTGGCTTTATTCAGGTTAGTAAAAGCCACTTATATATTATATTTTTGGGTGATTGATTGATTGATCGATTGTGCATCATGTCAACACCTTATCAAAGAGCAGATTCCAAGTTGCAAAAAAATAAACAAATTCACATAGTTGGAATTCCTGTTTGGCTAATAAATCTTAATTCAATCGAATGATTGCATACAAAATATTTTCAATTTGATTAAGCTAATCAGGAATAAATATCTTAGCTGTTGTGAATCAACACACATTTGGTTATTAGAAAAGGGTAGTATGATAGACTGCACTCACTGTGTAATACTACAAATAAAATTACATAATTTGAAATTTTATAAAATTTCATATATTTTATAGCAGAATTGTTTGACAAATATAAAAGTGGCTGAACCTATATACTCCTTTTGATTTGTAATATAATACAATATTTATAATATCTGCCTTATTTATAACTCTGCTTAATAGATTAATAGTTGTTAATAGGTTGATTAAGCTGGGGATCCCTCTTGACACGTCAATCCTCAGGGTGAAAAAAGTTTTAATTGTAAGAAGTGAGACATATTTTATTTTAATTACTAAAATTAAGTTCAGTTAATATGTTGGACATACACATTAGATAATTATTGAATACAGTGAAGTCTCAATAAGCCCCCTTATCAATATCATTGAATCTAAAGAACATAAGTGTATGAGATATTCTACAACCTTGCCTAGATTATAAATCCATCAACATGACAAGTGTCTTAAGCTATGATAGCTAGAGAATCACAAGACAACAAAATATAACATCTAATACTATCTGCATAAATTTGACTTGATTAGTCAATAAGCAGTTAAGAAGCTCAAACAATCAATCAGCAATAAATTGAAGTACTTAGAGATCAGATCTTTGAGCATACATAGATATAATTCCGAGTACCAATAGTTTTATATACATGTATAAAAATTACTATGTTATTTTTACTCTTAGTTACTTTAAGAACAAAATTCCAAACTAATTCCAAAACACAACGTAACGAATTTCCCAATACCAATTATCATATATTTATACACTACTCCAACTCCAATTTGATATATGACTGCTGTCATGTACATCTAAATCGAGCCCATTACTATCGCATGCTATCGTCTGAGCATGGCGACATTCCTATCAAATCACAAAACTTCCAAAACAGCAAAACTCTTCAAGCGTTTTCCAGTTGCTTAGTTATGAAAAGACTTTTACTACAACTATCGCGATAACATAATTCTTATAGTATTTATTTTTAATAATCATCAGGTGTATTTTATATAACTACTCATAAACATCGTATAAATAGCTTTATATATAACTACTTCATAATCATCGCCTAAAAAGTATTATATAATACTACTCTCATGTGAATTCCCTCTGGTTTATACGAAATGCATCTACTATCGTATAACCAGACTTAGTGTCATCTCTAGCAATCCACATCTATGCAGCAGCCATGTCTGAACAACTGGCTTTTCCAGTCGCTCGCCCGTGGAAAAACTTGAACTGCTCGTCCAAAATTTGAGGCAAACAAAGCAGCCCTCGGCAGCTGTTCTGAAGCATTTGCCTGCACTTAGCCCAGCTGTATCGATAAGCACCGATTCGCTTATCTTATCGCACTGGAAGGCTATGCGCTACAATCAGTTCATCGAGGCATATTCGTCAATTACTTGGAGTTCGTTAATTGGCAGCTGAAATGAACCCATAAGACCTGCCCACTGGAATTAGCGCCGCACTTAGTCATGTTTCGAGAGTGTGGAGGAAGTTCTTCATTCAGTTATTGTTAGTCGACAAACGTGAGGTGTTTCCGAAATAAGCGAAAGATAGTAGATAAAAGGCACAAAAACTAAAGAAAAATAAAACTGGGGCATTACAAAATGTCCAAAAATTGAACTGAATTCGAACAACAGTTCACAGGTCACTATCAATGGCCCTACAATGCGTGATCAAGCCAAAAATGTGGCTAGGCCTTAAGCAAATATTACTCTATGTGGGTCTGCTGCTGTGCGTCGTGCTTCAGGTGTGTCGCAGCAAGACCCAGTTACAGCTCAACTGTCCCACCGTCTGTCAGTGTGATCTCCATGCACAGCGCAATCGCGCGATCTGCAGGTGAATATCTCCAGCTATCCAAGCAAGTTTACCTTCTACATTTCTTGTATCTAGCGCCAAACGCTTGATAAGCGCCAGCATTGACATGCCCAAATCTGTGGAGCTGCTGGACCTAAGCTACAATGATATCACCAACATTGACGAAGACAGTTTCGAGGTAAATTACTCAATTTAGGTCTGACTAACTGACGCTCAATATCCATTCGCACATACAGAGCTCTGTCCATCTTATCAACCTGACACTGGCTCACAATGCCATCCAGACGCTGCACGTGAATGCGTTTGGTGAGCTGCGCCGCTTGCGCTCACTGGATCTGTCCTACAATCGCTTGGAGGAGATCGATGAGCATTTGCTGGAGACTAATTCGCATTTGCTGCATGTGAATCTGGAGGGCAATAAGCTGGCGACACTGGGCGATGGGCCGCTGCTGCGCAGCACCACGCTCCGCTCGCTCAATTTGCGCAATGCCCAGATCAATCAGCTGGGCGCGGAGATGTTGAGCGCGCTGCCACAGCTGCGCCAGCTGGATCTGGCACAGAATATGCTGATTACACTGAACATTAATGTGTTTCATGCTCCACGTTACTTGGCCTCACTCAACCTGGACGAGAATCCGCTCAACTGCGACCGCGCGCTAATTAAGGTCGCGACTTGGCTGAGTTTGCGCGGTGTTGCCGTCAGCATAAGCGAGTGCCTGGAGGAGAGGCTGCCCACCCATCCGCTGAATGTGCAGGTGAGTGGAGATGTAGAAAGCAGCGAGAACGGTTCACTTGTTGAAACACTTCAAATGGAGCGCATGGAGCATCTGGACAGCAGCAACACGAACGAACCCCAGTCTGTGGCCGAGGTATGGCGCGACCTGCCCGACGATTCAGAGGAGCAGCAACAGCAGGAACAGCGCGAGCAGCAACCGGAGGAGGAGCTATCAACGCTCATCGATGTGTGCGAGGGCAATCGCGAACAACTTTGCCTGCGCTATCGCAATTGCCTGGAACGAGTCAGCCACGAGCTGCTGGCAGGCAACGCCGGGCAGCCGCCAGACCTGGTCGAGAGCACACACACCTTTGACGAGGACGATGTGAAGCTGGCCTTTGCAGTGGGCGGTGCCACCGGCATCTGCATGGTCATTTTCATAATCAGCTTTGCCCTCTGCATTAAAAGCGGCTGCGAGCTGCGAAAGAAGCGACGGCCACCGGCAAACGCAGATACGTGTAAGTTAAGCAGCAAAGCTGCATTATACTAAAGCTGCGGCATTAGATTAAACCGATGTCAAAGCGAGCTTTGAGCTATAATAGTTTAAGTAGCTGTCACTTAGCTGGACCGGGAGCTTAGCACTGGAATTAATGTATCAAATATCTGTTTTATTGACAAGCGGCGCAAAGGAGCAGCATTGGCCTCACTTGCAGTCTGAGCAAATTATTGAATGATAGACAGTTGAGATTGAGAAAAGGTATGCAGCAAAGGATGTACTCATAGATAGCAGATACCAGCTCCCTTCAAGTTCTATAAATTGTTGCTTACTTAGCTTAGCCAGACACAGCTCTATATATACATTACTCTATTGAGCTTAATACTTCGACTTAAAATCAATTGAAAAAGTCTTAAATTAAATTCAGTTTAGGGAATTTCAAAGACGATTACTGACTATATAAGCAGGGCCATTGGTAATGAGATCATATCATATAACATGTTAAGGCTTAGAGTACTTTCATCCATTGTCAAATTCATATTCATTTGCTTTCCATATATTTAAGTGCTCCTAATGCCTCTTTATACCATCAAAGCCCTACAAATCCAGCATATTTTGTACTTCTTTTTATATTTTGGCACTCTTTTAATCTTCCACAGGGCTCTCACGAGCTCAGCAACACTTCGCTTTAAGCAACTCAGTCTTAATTCTGTATTTACACCTTTGCAGCCACATTGGAGTCGTTGCCACAGCAGCAGCTGCCCACGATTCATCACTGGGAGCCGCCCACTCGTAATCCGCGTCGCTCCAATCCGCACCGTTCACGGAATCCGCCCGCACGGGCTCTGGTCCGTCAGTCTTATGGGCCCGATGATAACTTTGTGTCGCGTCTGTTCGGGCGTCCGGCCCGGCATCAGTACTATCGCGCCATTAACCAGAACACGGCGACGTTAATCAGACGTCTGAGTCGCAGTAATCTATTTAGCAGTCGGGATCGGGAGCCCAGTAGTCCAGAGACTCCGCCAGCTGCAACAGCTAGATTTTACACGGATGTGGTGGATGCTGGCGCAGCTCGACCGGAGACGCCTCCACCCAACTACGGAGATGTGGTGGTCATCGATAATTGTGATAACAAATAGACATCAAGCCCGCAACGAGCTCCCTTTAAAGCACCCAAGCAATAGGCATTATCTAATAAATCTTTAAGCACGGCTTAAGGCAACGTCTTTATAGTTTACGACGGCCTTCTTCTTCTTCAAATTCTTCTTCCCTTCTTTTTGGCTCATACCAAAATATCAATTGGGGATTCCTTCCACTTTTCTTTTGTTGGTAGCATTACTTTTACACGACTGCAACAAATCGCAATAAAAACTTTTGACAAAACTATCAAAGTTGGCATACAACGGGAACAGGAAGAGACTGCGAAATTGCCACAGCCAAATCTGCAACATCCCCACATGCCCCCTCGCCCCAACTAAGCTCTCAAAAAAATGTTCAAGTAAGAAAACTTTACACACTCAAATAAATGCAAGCGTGAAGCGTGTGCAATAGAGGACAGGAAATGAAGCGGGTGTCGCCGAGCCAGCGGATGTGGCAAGACAAATCGAAAGCTTCACAAAAGAAAACAAAACCCCACAAAAAAAAAAAGAAAAATATATAAAAAAAGAAGACCCACTGCAAACTGGGCAAAACCAAACAATTTGCACTGCAAAAGCAGCCAAAGTGTCTCAAAAGAATTAACCACTAAAACTAACCAAGCTACCATTAAAAAACATAAGAACGAGTTGGTCGACTATAGTCGACTAGCCGATACGCTGCAGGGATTTGATTTTATGAATGCCACTTTTTTGCTTATTTATTATTGTCTAACTGCAACTTTTATTGCTTTAATTTAATTGAAATTTTTGGATCTTGACCATGACAGCGTAGTGACTTGTTATATATTTACACTGCTTAACAAATTTTTGATGTTTTTTAATATTTGTGTAATATTTGAAGAGACATAGAAAAGGTAAAAGTTCACATAATATGTAAGTGATTTTACAACTTAAATGGGAAGCATATAACCTTTGTTTTTTAATGGTTTACAACTCTAAGTTGGTGTGCCAGATTGCGCCTTGTATGAGCCAAAATCATATTTTAATTTAAATGTCATATAAATTGCTATTCAGCTTCTTTCGTGAATATAAAATATATATCACATCTTTATATTATAATTCAAATTATATAAATAATTATATAATTCCATTGTATAACTCTAAATAAACACTCTATATATTCTAGATGTTAAGAGTTGAGCTCTTAAGCTTTCTCTCTCGCTCTCACTCTTTCACTTTCACTCAGTCTTACTCCCTCTTTCTGTGGATCTACCATCGTCTAGCATACAAAACTAGTTCATATCACTAATTCTAATGCCATTGGAGAGCTAATAACATATCAGCTCAACTATTAGCGCTGATCAAGCTCAAATGTATTAAAGTATTGCAGTATGAAAGTTGATATAGGAGAAGCTTTCTACCAGCTGTTGCATACACATGCAGAAAACCTATAAGCCCCTCTCTACGTTTGTCATGTACAAGAGTAAAAGTTAAAAGAATACTAGAATAAGGGACATTTAGAACAAATTTGCAAACACACTGAAAGACTTGGTAGAGAAACATTTATTCTCTAAATTAAATGTTGATTCCAAAACGAAAAAAGAGCTTTTACAGATCAGTTTCACTCTGACAATATACACAAAATATCAGTTTCAAATTTCAACTTTTAAACCTAAATAAAGCGTATACAGCAAACAGCTACACAACATACTTATTTCGCTGCAGACATAATACAAAGACATATTTTAATGAGCGAATCCAAATAGTTAACAGCATCGAAAAAAGTGCCCCATGGAATACGGAGCGGCTGCATCATATATTTATAATATTTAGACTATGATCTAGATCGATTCTTAATTCGAAAGGCATAAAGAACTCATTGCTGTTGCTCTAAAAAAGTGCTAGTTGCCAAATTTGTGACAACTCTGGTTGCATGTGGCTGTCGCTGATATTGTTGTTGCTGTTGAATGTTTGTCTGGCTGTCGCTGTTTGTTGTTTGTGGCAGCTTTCATTGCACTGCGCTGCACGGCAGTGCACAAAAGTTAACGTATCCTGGGACCCAAAGTTGCGTTGTCAACAAGCGAACGCAAAAAGCAAAGCCAACCGGGCATAAAAACGGGCACCAGCGGGAAGAGCAAATGTTCCAGAGCGTGAAAAAAAATATCTAAATCCAACATTAATGAAAAACTTTTTGCATAATCCTAGAGCAGCGGATGCCGCTGCTGGTGTCGTCGGTGGTGGCATTTCGGGCGTTTAGGGCTTAGGACTGAGTTTTTGGCCAGACAAAACACCACCAAAAAATCTAGCAAATCCAGCCAATGCCATCGGCTGCAGACACTCGCCGAACAAAATACTTTCCGCTAAAGAGCCAAAAACCTCCGAAAAAATGGAGAAAGAAGAAAATACAGCAAAGGTGATTCAAATTCAATGGCTAAGCTATTCAGAAGCAAAGAGAGTTGGTTATGCGGTTGTCAGTTTTAAGGATTGAAGGCCAAGCGGCTTAAAAGACTGCGAAGGTTAAGCCAAAAGCAAGTCAGAGAGAGAATGAGCTCTTCAAACTGCGACTGATTATTAAATATGCCAAGGGTTAGGTTTAGGACAGCTGCTTAAAGTGTCAAGGTAGAACTAGCTTAAATCTAATTTAAGTTATTTCAAATAAGAATTCATGTGCCAGACAGTCGCCTCAAAGCAGAGTGAACAGAAGGGTATCAAATAGATGGATTTTTATAGGGAACTGAAATCGAACTAGCGACAGTTGACAGATTTTGCTTGTCAACTATTATGGCATACAACAGAAGTTTCTAACTTTAATAGGAGTATTTTCCCATTTATTATTATAAGAGGAGGCTTCCTTAAACTAGAATATGCTTAGAGTTTACTGTACCTTTGAAACGTTGGAAATATGCTGAAGTAACTGTAGCTAGACTTAAGTCGATTTTATAAAAATTAAAAAATGATTTGAAGTGTAAGTGAAGTTTGTAAAAATGTATATCCTTCCACAATGAATCATCAAATCAAATACGAAGATGGCCAGTCAGACAAAGGCAGACGATCAGATAGATGATAAGAGCTTAATCGACCCGTCTATAGCTGATCAGGCGCATATACTTTATAGGATATGCCACGCCCTGTACAGTCTGTTTCATAGACTTTAAATAATATAAATATAAATGACGCGTGAGTCTGTCTTGCTCGCTTAGTTTATGCCACAAATGAAAGTTAGTTCAAGTTAGAGAAGTTTAAATGCTTCATCGCTACCCTTAAGTATTGCTTATATTCTCTTTAGTAAGCTGAAGCAATGACAGTGAGTTCCGAAGCAGATTAGAATTTAATAAATCTTTCGATACAAATCAAAAATTAACCTTTGCTGGCACCTGAGATACACCTGCAGTTGCATATGGCGCCGACAACTTACACTCATTTGCCATTCATATATTCACTGGCTGGTCTTGCGAATCGGGAAATAAACTTCAAAGCGTTTAACAGTGGTTCACTAACCAATACGCAAAGCGCCACGCCCACCACCCCCCATTTTACGATGTAATCTGCACAATGCCAGAGCACAGTTTTAATTGCTGTGACACTGCAGATACGGCTGACTGGAGCTGGAAATTGGTCAGACTACATAGCTAGGTGGAGGGTCAGAGAGGAGCGAGATGCACAGAGAAAGAGAGAGAGAGAGAGTTCCACTTGCCGTTCCGGCTGTTGCTGCTGCTGTTGCTGTTGCTGTTGTCGTTTTCTAATTTGATAAAGATAAAAATCATTTTATAAATGCCGACGACATTGCCATCAAGTGTATGCCCCTGACAGGCGAGTCCAGGGCTTAGATATATGTATGTATACCCTCTATATATATGTATATATAGAGCCTGGCTGCTTGGCTCTTAATTGAATGCTCATTTCAAAGAGGACGCTGCTGGGAGAGTTGCCAACGACGTCGCAGTGGACTTTAATTGCATTTTTATTTCATTTCCCAGCAATTATCGCTGGTTCGTGCTCAAATTTATAAGCTCCAGCTACTCGCTCGACTTGCACCTGTCGCCGCAGTCGCACCTGTAGCAACCTCCTAAGCTCCAAAGGTCAATCGTTGGTCAACTTTACCAGATGTGTGTATGTGTGCAACTAGTTGAGCATTGCGGTGTCCTGTTGTCGTAATTAAAGGTTGCCCTGGGCCAGTCCGGCACATGCAGCTTGTTGTTGTTGTTCTTGTTGTTGCCACATTTTAGCAATATTTATAGTTGTTGCAACACTCTGCCATTGGTCTTAGTGGAAGCCCAAGTTGTCGTTGGCAGTTGTTAGCAAAGCAATTAGCATGAGTTTGTTATTGCAACACGGCAGCAGTGCCAACAGCGCCAACAGCGCCAACAGCTAACTGTCCAAGTCGGCAGCAGTTGGGCAGCATGCTGAAAGTTTTAGGTTTCCGCCCTTCTAAAGACCTCAATCCGAAAGTAAAAATTAAATTTATTTACTTTGCGCTGCATGGGCTAAAGTGTTGGCCATGTGGCATTTAACTCTTAACAGCAAATCAAATGTAAGCGAAACTAGCAACAAAGGGCCACACGGCCGTTGGCCATGCAACCAAAAAGGCTGCAGCTAAAGAAACGCAAGGAGAACAGGTGTTTACCTTCAATTTCCCACCTGATATACAATTAAAGTAAAGCAAACGATATCCACGCTCAACTCTTTTGAAGTCTAATTAGACTTAAGCATTGCTTCCAATTAGATTCAGTTAAAACGACATATTCTCAATTATAGCCACTTCCTTTTCTTTTATACAGTTTCTTGTGTTGACGGTGTGCCTTTATATATATTTCCAGGTTATAATTTAACGAGCATAACTTAAGATTAAGCACTGTTTTTGAAATAGTTTAATTGATGAAGAATTGACGCCAAACGAAAGCGATAAATCTTAAATAAAAATAAGCTAAAACCCCTAACGAATGCAGCGTGTAAAAAGATCTGATATGCTTCAGCTAAAGAGTTGAACCAGCTAAAATGTCTTATAAACAATTATTTGAAGATCTTCACTATGAGAAGAACTATCTGCCTTCTACCGCTGCTATGCCTGAGTGTACGCACTCCGGCAGCTCCGCTTGAAGAAACAATAAAGCCAGCCGGTCCGGAACGCCTCTACCAAGGTGATATGCATGTGAAATACAGTCGGAACGGGCTGAGAGATGCAAAGTTCCACTGGCCCAATGCAACAGTCTACTTCAAGATATCAACTACATTCAGTAAGAATAAGCAAAGACAGCTCAACTTTTTAATAAAAGCATTCTTCTAGGTGAGCCTCAAGTAAATCAGATAAATCTGGCAATGCAAATGATTCAAAATGTTTCATGCGTTCGTTTTGTGCCTGCAGATGAAGATGTCAAAGGTTATGTATTTGTTAACGATTCTGACACCGGCTGTTGGTCTCAGATTGGTTACTACGGCCAGGAGCAGATTGTTAACTTACATACCGGTTGTTTATCTTTGGGCATCATACAGCATGAACTACTCCACACTTTGGGATTCCTTCATCAGCAAAACTCTGCTGACCGCGATGATTACATCAACATCGATTGGACCAATATTAAAGAGAAACACAAAAAAAATTTTATCAAAGCCAATTCTAGTCTTGTGTGGAACTTTGGTTCAAAATATGATTATAACAGCATCATGCACTACTCTGGGACTGCCTTTAGAATAAACTCCAGTCGGCCAACAATTGAGACCTTGCAAAATCTAAATGGTAGAAGAATAGGACAAAGAGAGCGTATGAGTGACACGGATATATCTCGTCTCAACAATATGTACAAGTGTGATTTGGCAACGAGTACAGAGAATTGGGAATCAAATGAGAACAGTTGAGAATAAAAGTATTTGCGGGAATATATAGTTATATAAATTCATTTTGTTTCTTTTTTTGTTTTTTGATTTTTTATTTTAGTCAGATCTATTTGAAAACAATTTTTTTTTTCGTTTTTATCTTAAAATTAAATCGCAGGTAACAAAAATGCTGAAAGCTAATATTGCTAATATTGGCAAACGAAAGCGATGCATTTTAATTAAAATGAAGTTAAAACCCCGAACGAATGTAGCGTGTAAAAATATCTGATATGCCTCAAATTAAAAGGTGAAACGGCTCAATATCTAACAAAAAATCTGTAAAAAATGTTCACTACGAAAAGAACCAGCTCATCCTTAAAATAAAAACTTTCTTCTAGGTGAACCTCAAGTAAATCAGATAAAACTTGCAATGCAAATGATTCAAATTGTTTCATGCATTCGTTTTGTGCCTGCTGATGAAGATGTCAAAGGTTATATATTTGTTAACGTTTCTGAAAGCAGCTGTTGGTCTCAAGTTGGTTACATCGGTAAAGAGCAGATTGTTAACTTGGGCAACGATTCCATTGGCTATGGTTGCTTTACTTTAGGCATTATACAGCATGAACTACTCCACTCTTTGGGATTCGTTCATCAGCACAAAAATAGCTCACGCTTCAACTGATAATAATAATAAAAAAATTTATGAAATGTCTATTAGAAAATAGATAACACATCATATATACATTTAAAAAGGAAATATATTTATCAGATCAGATGAAGCCTCCTTAGTCCAAATGCAAAAAACAAAAGTGAAGCTCCGCAAATCTACCAAATATTTCCGTTGTAATATATCTGGTTTAATTTGGTGCAGGCTGGCTAATTGCCTGTTGCTCAGCTCCGATATGTCCCTGGTGACAATTAATTTTTAATTTAATGCACATAAACTGGGCAGCCTCATTCAGTCAGTCGCTTTGCTCGGGCACTCTTAATGGCATTTTGGGTCCATTTCAATTTACATGCGAACACAAAAGGACATACGTTAACACACACACGCAGCACACAAATAGAGAGAGGGAGAGGAAGAGGGAGGCAGTGGGCTGGGGTCACACTGCCGCTGGCTGCATTTTACACGTGGTTCCTACCAGGTGCGAGCAACGCTTTAAAGATGGGCGCACTTACACGCCTGCTGCTGCTCAGTCTCATTCAGCCAAATGCGCCCCAGGGATACGTGCTCTCTACTCTTCTCTTCTCTTAGTTTTTTTTTTTTTTTGTTTTTTGCTTACCCGAAACATTTGCCTTCAATTTTACTGTCAGTTTTTTACACTCTTACTCTTACTCTTACACTTGCTCGGACTCCGACTCAGCCACCCAACTTGTTTGGCAGTTTTTCTTGTTTTTCTTTATCGGCCACGCTGCGAGCTCACTTTTCAGCACGCCCGCTTTCATTTTGGTCAGGTTTTTTTCTCGTTTTTTTTAATGGCTCATTTTGTTGCTGAAGCTGTAGAGTGATTGACTGGGCTGTTGGCCACGTGATGGGCTTTGCGTTGGTTAACATGTTGATTTGCGTGCTGACCAACTTCTAATTAACACATATAACAACTTAACTTGCCAAGGTTTTTTCTCTCTACTCTGCTCGAGTATAGCAGCGGCTCATTAGCTGCTATTTGAATTTCCATTTCGTTTACTCAATTTCATAAGCAATTGTGTGTGCATTTGCCTGCGCCTAAATGTATTCACCGCAAGCCATGCTAATATATGCCACACACATGCACACACTCACTCACACACACTCACACATTTATGAATTTCAAATGGGCGCAAACGAAGTTCTAGCTGCAGCGCACAAAAGTATGCAGCACAAAAGCAAGAAAAGTTGGCCGCTTTTTCTCCTTCTCCATCTCCTTCAGCTCCGCTCGCTCGATTTGCGCAACGTTTGTGCAAAACTTTATGCAACCACAACGGAACAGTTTTATTCTTTTTTTTAACGCTTGGGCAAGAAAAAGCTGAAGCTAAACCCTTTTTGCCACAGCGAAATGCGTAAGCCCCTTTTGCAGATGATGCGGATTAATTTTTAGTTTTTCTTCTGCTTCTTCCTTTTTTTCGTTGAATAAAATCAGATAATAACACCTTTTTTTAAGCTAACAAACTCTAAAAGAGGTTTAGAATTTTGAAAGTGTTAAGCCGAAATAATAGAAAAAATAAATATAAAATATGGTAAAATAAAATAAAATAAAATAAAGCTTTAACTATTTATAAATTTGATTGTTTATGCGCTAATTGATAGTTAAGCTATAGAAAAATAAATATTATAATACTATATATGTATGCGTGTATTTGTGTATATAAATACATATATATAAAAACTACTTTGCATAACAATTAAGAAGGATTTCCAGAGTTCAGCTGAAAACCAAACTAAAAGCGGTAAAAAATTTAATTGAAGAAAATATTTTCAATTAATTTTTTTATTTTTCTACCTTTATTTTAAGGCCTCAAAACTTAACAAAAATTTTAATGAAATTTTCAAAAATTTTTTAGTCTTTTTTAAATGTTGTAATAAAAACAATTGAAACCAATCGCAGCTCTGCTTGCTAGCATAGTTAGAAGACCCGCACTATCGTGCAGAGTGTCTGGCATAAAAATTGAATCAGTGTTAGGTTTGCAGTAGAATTTGCCTGATTTTCAATTAGGGCCACATTCTGCAGATTCTGCTATGGGGCGAGAAGCGAGTGAGAAGTTTGAAGTGTGCCCAGCATATAGTGTTAGTGATTGCATCATAAATCCATTTGCCAGCTTGCAAACCCACAGAGCGAGCACTCAGGCGATGCGGTCAGACTCAATGGTCAATTGGCTGATTAGTCTTTAATTGGCGGCCTTTTGTTAATTTAGACCGGCGACATTTCGATCTTTAGCCTAAAAGCCCAAATGTGCACAAATTTGTGTCCTGCGACGAAAGTAATTACACAGCTTGGTTGCACCGCTCTCCGAGTGTCCATTCAATTTGCGACCCATCTTGGGGGAATGGGTGTTGACGATTTCTGCTAATTTCCGGTGCTCATATTTGGCAGACGGTCACGCCCGTTTACACAGCAGCAACGGCAGCAGCAGCAGCAGCTGCAACAGCAATTGCAATAGGAATGAGAGCGACAGCGGCATGAGCAACAAACAGTTGAAATTGCACCACATCCTGTCTGGGAGTGAACGCAATTCAATTCAGCAATTGCATTCTTGACAGCACAACAACAATAATTACAAGCTAAGGCCTGCAGCTCGGCAGAGGCGGATGAAGAGATACCCCATAGCAAGCATCGAAATGAGGAACCATATATATTCAATTGCTATGATAGCAATGTAATTTAGAAGTGAAGAAAAGACAGGCAATTACGTAGGTAGCTGCATAACTAGATCTACTAAACCTCAGTCCTGCTAGAGAAATCTTCTGTTGCACTTCTTTTGCGCATTAAGCCCACTTTCAATATTTACAGGGTATGGCAACAAAAGCAATGACAGTGAAATGACCAATGAAATAGCAACTAAAACTGAAGCAGCCACAGACTTGTAAACACACTAAATCTATTACCCTGTCAAATTGACAAAACTCGATTCTTTATTTGCTCCACTCAAAGTCTGTTATATGACATCCATTAGGGGTACCCACTTTTTAATACTTTCTTTTAAATTAAATAGAATTTATTAAAAGATTAAATAGAATTTGTAATCTAATTTTTATACAGAATTATGGCTTAGTTTTCTTAAATCATGCTTCTAACTAGCCAATTGACATTTAGAGACTATTTTGCATATTCTTTATTAATATTTGTCGTTAAGTCTTAGTTGGAATTATTGACAGCTGGAAGATAAGCTAGAAGAGTTGATGAGGCTTATTTGATACGCAATTAACTTTTTGTTTGTATGTTCTCCTAGCATTTATAATAGTTGATTGAATACCCAATAAGTTAACAAAAATAGATTCAAAATATATTATATATGATATGAACATATGTTATCCGTGGTCTGCCGTTTAATGCAGTTAGACAGAGCTCAGATACGCATCCATTTCCCTATTGATAACCCCAACATTCTCCCGCTGCTTCATCTGTCCACTGAAAATTTAGAATCTACTTCTCTTTGACATTATAAATTGTTTTATTTCAATCTGTCTCTCGATTCTACCTCCACAAAAGTTTGCAGTTCGTGAATGTCCCTAATGGCTGCAACGCGACCAGCCATAACGCATTGAGCTGCCATGTCCACTACAAGCAGCTAGCTGCCCTATTGCCCACCCACACAGGCGTAAGTGCTTGCAGCAATCAGTTATGGCCCAGCAACGGCAACGGCACGCCAACAACAACAGCAACAAAGTCAGTGCAACAAGGTTTCCCCTTTTGGCCATCCAGTTCCTGTGGCGATTGTCAACGGCGCTGTTTTTACGCTCTCTCTCTCTCTCGCTCCTGGAAGGGTCAGAGGCAGACGCTGTGCTCGCTGCACTGGCTCTATAAATCTGCACAAATTGGCAACACTCTGTGGGCTGCATTAAAAAATATTTTACAAAAGAGCAAAAGTAAATAAATATACAACGAGCGACGCAGCACAGCATATGTTGCCAGTCAGCCACACACAGCCTCCCCTCTAGAGCTCTCTACTCGCCGCTATATCTCTCTTTTTTCTGAATTTTTCAACAGCTGCTTGTTTATTTATGCTTGTAACGTTTATAAATCGCTTGGCCAAAACTACAAAAAAGAGAAAAGAACGCAGAGAAAAGGCCAGAGCAGAAGAAGCGAATAAAAAGCACAAAGACTGACCCAAAGGTGGGCACAACATGGCGTATGCTTGTTGTCCTCAATTGAGTTATCAAGACAGCTCTCTCTTTCGCTCTCGTTCTCGCCCTGTCTCTTATGCACGCACAACTTCATAAATCAGCCAACTAACCGCATCGAGTGCCACCCGCTGCCTGTTGATGACCTTATTACGGTTAACTTGTCGCCCCCCAGCCGCGCCATGAGGTGTCAGTGGCTTTTAATATTTAAACAGCGACCAGCTGCAACTTCAACTTGT